TCAATGTGTGGTCCACTGGTACTTAAAGATGCAGGGCATTTCCAAGCTTTCCATAAGGGAATAATTAAACCACCGCAGGTAACAAAGAATTAATTTTGAAGGATATTAAGCACCCTTAATTAGCACATTTGAGTTTCGTTTCCCCACAGGGAAAATATTCTCATGGCAACTTGCCATGTCAGAGCTTCTAAAACTTCTCCCTAAACTTATAGCTGAAGCCAGTTTTACTATGCAAATGAGGACTGCAAAAGTCTTTTAAGCCAACTCATTCATAAGCATTTAAGAAGCTCCAGGGCCTCTGGATTTTGTTAATAATTCTGTGGCAATCACTGGGGAAGTCTTCTGAATATATAGCTGGTAAATTCAGAGTGCCTAAACCTAATAACCCACATCTGTGCAGATTTTTGAAAGCTTGTTTTTCCCCTAAATCCTGATTATGCTGTATTTTAACTGCATTTTAAAGTTTAAGTGAAATCAGAGATCATAAAAATGCCAGACAAATAGATACATCTCAGCTTAGACACATCCATCACAAGGAGTTGATCGTTTACAACATCACATGCAATTAGGGCAGCACAAGGTATCACAGTTTATGGGTCTCAGATTCAATTAAATGAGATCAATTAATTCTCTGGCATATTTATGATATGATTCTCCTATTAAAGTATCTATGCCACATTGAATTTAACAATGAAAGTGGGCTAATCTGTTTGGCTATTATGTAGATTAATACATTTTTTAATTTTAGGGGAAGACTTTAAAAATTATATGTCTTTTCAAATATGACCACGTAGAGATTACTTTCATATATGTTAATGATTGCCAAGTAATGATTAGTTTAGACTTAGATATGAACATCTACCCAAGATGTACTTCTGAAGGCAACATTAATGATGAACAATTACTGCAAGGGAAGGTTACCTTTGAGATTCTACTCTCTTGGATCCACACATGAGAATGACCTTGAACTCTATCAGCCATTGAGGGAAAGGAAGAATATAGTCTTTTGATTTAGCATCATTGATTCTCAGATTGTGCAGAGTGATTTCTGATGTTGAACTTCTTACAATTAAAAACAGCACAGAAATGTTCAAAGTGCAAGGAAGGGAAGCTGGCAAGTAACAGGTACTGCCAATACAACTATATGGCCTGAACCCTTTGCTTTTTTCTTCCCCACTGAGATCCTGTAGGCAGCTGGGAACATATTATGATATGGTCTTTTGGATGCTTTTAGGACTTGATGTAGGATGAAGAAAAAAGTGATTTATTTCTTTGGCTTTTAAAATTTCTCTAACTTTTGAGCATGCTTCTGTCTGACAGTAACTGCCTCCTGCTTTGTCTTTTCTTTCTCCATTTCGTTTCATTCCTTGTTTCATCTGCCCTCTGAGAGAGGAGAAATACAGGACAGACGATGTCCTAAAGTATTAGCGCATTGCCCAGTTTGTGTTATTGGAGATTTGTGTTATTGGATATTTTTGGATAGCAGCAGAACAAGGTAGAACAGGGCAGGAGGCTAAGACATGTGTGCAAAGCCAAGAAGTGTGATACCTTGGGGATCTAGGCTTATAAGCAAACCTCCCACTAGGTAGAGTCAGTAGGCAGTAAAGGCTCTGGAATGCCAGGGTAAGCCTTTGGTATGATTATATAAGCAATCAGAGTGCCAGAGGCAGACATATGTAAGGCAAGATGGTTTAAGCATGAAACAGTAGACAGTGCCCTGATGAAGACACCTTAGAAATGGGGATACTTTTGCCTCAGCTACGTATCTTTCTATAGAATTTCGGTTGGACTATACAATCTAAAACAGCAGACACTGTGTCTCTTTTGCTCAGTATTATATGTTTAACTCTTGGCATTGAGCTTCGTAAATATTTGTTGAATGAATGAATGAATTCTGAGACTGAAGTCCATCCTAGTACTGCAGCCCAGGATCTGTAGGTGAAACACAACTCCTCCTCCTCTTCCTCTGCATCTTCCTTTTTCCTCCTCCTTCTCATCATCAAAATGACTGAAGCCACTTTTTACTGAACACTGACCACGTGCCAGGTGTTACACTGTGTGCTTTACATTCATTATCTTATTTGAAACTTAAAACAATTCTATGGGGTAGGTGCTGTTTTCTTTGAACCTCTTTAAAAGGGATTGAGGCATAGAGATTTTTACCTACCAATGGTCACATAACTAGTGACTAGAGGCCCTTACTCCAAACACAGGCATTTGACTTGAGAACCCATGCTTTCAACTGTTAAATTATACTGTGTTCTCTGTTAGCCACAGCATCAAGTTATGAATCCATTTAAATTGAGGTTTCTCAGTAGCTGTTTTGAACATCCATGTCGCACTTTGAAGTTAGACCTGGCCATGTTAATTGCTTTGGCCAATAAAATGTGAACAGGAGAAGCAACGTCACTTACGGGTAGAAGCTTTAAGCACCAGTACATGATTTATCATGCTTCTTGTTCCTACAATGGTAATCATGAAAGTGCATCTTGAGATGATAGAGTTTTTGGTACCCCGAATCTCTGATTAAAATGAGACCCCTGATGATCCACATTGGACACATAGTATGAATGAGAAACAACCTTTTCATGCATCAGGCCAGAGAAAGTTTATTTTTTTCAATTCTGTGGCACAGCAGTGCTTATTCTGATATAGATGTTCCTCATTTTTGCCCCATTCAAATAATCTAAATTTGTTCCAGAGTTGCCTACTCAAGGATATTAGTCATTCTCTAAGGATATACATGTGTGTTGAAAGAATTTGTTTAAAATTACTCAAAGATCCCATATGAACATATGAATTAAGGCACTATATGATGCTATCACATAAAGGTATAAAATAATCTTAAAAATATAATTTTAATGTCATTAAAATAATCCATTTTGGTTACCTTCAAATGATAGATCAATAATAGTTTAAAAGTATTTCTTTGTACTGCTTCCTGTATCTCCCTTTTTTTTTTATTTGCTCCATTGTTTATTAGAGACCTAACATTCATTCTAAAACAGAGGTATTTTAGTGAAATGCAGTCAGCCTTAATTATACTGGCACTCCTCGGAGATAGACGGAAGTACTGGTGAATTTTTCTGAGTTGTAATTCTATACTTGAAAGCATATCTTAATTTTAGACATCCTTTTTTTTTTTTAAATTATATTTTAAGTTCTAGGGTACATGTGGATAACGTGTAGGTTTGTTACATATGTATACTTGTGCCACGTTGGCGTGCTGCACCCATCAACTCGTCATTTACATCAGGTATAACTCCCAATGCAATCCCTCCCCCCTCCCCCCCCCCCATGATAGGCCCTGGTGTGTGATGTTCCCCTTCCCGAGTCCAAGTGATCTCATTGTTCAGTTCCCACCTATGAGTGAGAACATGTGGTGTTTGATTTTCTGTTCTTGCGATAGTTTGCTGAGAATGATGGTTTCCAGCTGCATCCATGTCCCTACAAAGGACACAAATTCATCCTTTTTTACGGCTGCATAGTATTCCATGGTGTATATGTGCCACATTTTCTTAATCCAGTCTGTCACTGATGGACATTTGGGTTGATTCCAAGTCTTTGCTATTGTGAATAGTGCCGCAATAAACATACGTGTGCATGTGTCTTTATAGCAGCATGATTTATGTATCTCCCTTTTTATTGTACTTTCTTGCATACTTTTATTTTTCTTTTAGGCTTTTAATCTCCTCCCTTTCGAGATGGTTAATGAAAAGTCTCTGAGGATGAGAAAAATATCCCTAGAATAAAACTGCTGAACAGGATCAACTTCAAAAGCATGCAGATTAAAATTTCCACATCATGGGCACATGAAAAAGGAAATTATTAGGGTCCATGTCTTCCTCCTAACAGAAGTACTTCCAGATTCTGTTTTGTATTCCTGCCATCCTTTCCATGGTGGTTTTTTTTTTTTTTTTTTTTTGAGATGGAATCTTGCTCTGTCGCCCAGGCTGGAGTGCAATGGCACAATCTTGGCTCACTGCAAACTCCGCCTCCTGGGTTCACACCATTCTCCTGCCTCAGCCTCCCGAGTAGCTGGGACTACAGGCACGTGCCACCACGCCCGGCTAATTTTTTGTATTTTTAGTAGAGACAGGGTTTCACTGTGTTAGCCAGGACGGTCTCAATCTCTTGATCTCGTGATTTGCCTGCCTCGTCCTCCCAAAGTGCTGGGATTATAGGCGTGAGCCACCACGTCTGGTCTCCATGGTGTTTTACATTAACTCCAAAATATTAAAGAGCACTTAGATGACTTCTATTTCCAAGTCACACTTACACAGGAATACCTCTTCCCCCACATGTCTAACAGTTAAACCTCTACCTCAACACTTCACATGACAGGACATTTACTGGTTGATGTAGCTGCTGACTAATTTTTGGCCAGCTGTGTGCATTTCTTCTGTGAAGACACAGTTAGCCTCTTAGTTACATCAGCAAATTGTCCTAAAGTCTGCCCTCTCCACCTATAGAGACCAAGTAAAATCGCACCCCTGACAGCCCTTCCAATATTGGAACACACATATCAGGTCTCCCAACAATCTTTTATTCTCTAGTTTCTTCCATGGTTCCCAGGATAACTGGAACACAGCTGTCCCTGTGGATCCCACCTGTTCCTTACACATGGCTTAAATTCAGTTTCTTGGTCCCCTGAGATTCAAAATCCAACTCTATAATTTTTCTAATTTTCTTCAGGTTACATTCTCTAATTTGCTTGTTTGTATAAACTGCCAATATCAAAACCCAGTCTCTTTACAGGTTTCCACAAAATGACACTGGATCTAAGCAGTTTGTGTTTAAGATGTTTATAATAGCTTTGTGGCAAAAACATCCTGAGGAATCGCACAGTAGATGCATTGGGCTTCTGAATCCTCCCTCCCTCCCTTTATCGCTCCCTTCCTTGCTTCGTTCCTCATTTTCTCTGCCCAGTAAAAGCTAATTCTTCTATTCATCTCAGAAATAGCAGTCACTCATTCACAGATTTAAAAGGCTCAGCCTACCTTAAAGGTAGATTACTTCAACAAAGTCCGGGTCTTCTTTTCCTAAAACAATGAAATGTTCACCAACTTGTTACAATACACAATAACAACAACTTCCTCCTTTTAAATGTTAAACATGTTACATTATCTCATTTAAATCTTACTTTAAGCCTAGGTGGTAGACAATATGATTCCCTTTGTACATGTAAAGAAACAGGTTTCAAGAGCTCGAGTCGTTTTTATAAGGAAAAATACATTACTGCTGGCAAAATCCAGCCCTTAAACCCACATTTGCTTTTTAACTCCAAAGTTGGTACTCTTAACATGGTTACTAAACATCTCCTCAGGATTTCCATATCCCTCACTATTGTGATTGTTATTCGTTGGATAAATTCCATTTAAAAAAAAGTGTTCCTTTAAAAATATGGCCTCCTAAATGAATACAGTCCTTTAGGCATGAAGACAAGGAAGTAACTGAAGATTGCAAACACTGGCCAATAGATAAAAAGAAGGAAGAAGAAAGGAGAATTTGAATCCCTGTAAAGTCTTCAGTTCACTAATATTTTCTTTTACCTGGCCTGTTTGGTTAATTTTGTGTCCTGTCTGGCTCCTGAAGTCATCTGAGTTTTAATCCCTACTTTTAAATAACATGGCACATTCTTGGCTTCCAAGGATTTGATAGTTACAGCTGTAATCCTTCCTAAGCAACTCAGTAGGTCTATGACTTCTGGTAACTTCTAACCTTGCTGTGGAATGAATATGAATTGCCTGTCCTCTAAAACTACTGTTTGGCAGAAAGTAATTCGGCAAATGAGTGCACCTAGAAAACTACCCAGCTTCTACATATGACAGGACCTTTCTATTCTCTATTTGTCTTTACATTTTTTATTCCATACAGAAAACTATACGCTATAAGGTCATTCATGTTCTGTAGAATTCGTGAAGATCTTAGACTTTAAACCTCGGAAGTTTCCATTTTTCTCTGAATCAACACTGCTGATTGATGATTTCTATGATACCTATCTGTTAAAAAATTTTTCAAGGCTGGGAGCAGTGGCTCACACCTGTAATTCCAGCACTTTGGGAAGCCAAGGCAGGCATATTACCTGAGATCAGGAGTTTGAGACCAGGCTGGTCAACATGGTAAAACCCCATCTCTACTAAAAATGCAAAAATTAGCTGGGCATGGTGGCAGGCACCTACCTGTAACCGCAGCTAGTTGGGAGGCTGAGGCAGGAGAACTGCTTGAACCTGGGAGGCAGAGGTTGCAGTGAGCTGAAATTCCATCACTGCACTCCAGCTTGGGCAACAGAGCAAGACTCTGTCTCAAAAAAAAAAAAAAAAAAAAAAAAAAAATTCAAGTATAACCAACCTAAAATAGCACAAAATTCATCTGAACTCACTAGGCAAATGGTTGATAATCCTGCAGGCAAGTTAGACTTTTGTTGTTGTTGCTGTTGTTCAGAGGCAAGGAATCCCTGGGTGACATGGAGTATAACTCAGAGATACTCCTAATGTCTTCGTGTAGAAGTGATTAGTCAAATACATAGTGCTGTGATTTGTTCAAGGTGATGATATTAGACGTGAATCCTGTCCTTGAATTCTAGATCCATCTATCCAACACAAAAATACGATTCCTATTTTAGAAGTGTGAAAACTAAGATGATTTTTCTGGGCTTCACAAGATCATGTCTTTATTAACGGATTTTCTCAGAGTCACAGGTGTGTCAAAATAGAATGGGTCATTCTGTGAGGTAGTGAGCTTCTTGCCATCAGAGATGTTTAGTCATAGCTCAGATGATCACAAAAGATGAATTGTACTCATTGGTATATAAGGTCCCTTCCAGTCCTGAAATTCTGTTTCTATATAAAGTCAATAATTTCAAGCAATATTTTAGGTTATTTACTCCTCCCACAAATTGGCCAGATAATTGCTTGATTTTCTGTTTCTCTTTGATTATAAAACCCTTTGCACAATGGAAAGTAGAACTTAGCTATTCTGGCTCATAAATCTAAATGTGTCCCCAAAAGTTTGTGTGTTGGAAATTTCATTACCATTGTGACAGTATTAACAGCTGGAGCTTTAAGAGATGAACAGGCCATGAGGGCTCTGCCCTCAATTGGATTAATGCTGTTATCTTGGGCGTGGATTAGTTATTGCCAAAAGTGGATTCCTGATTTTAAAAAGAGATAAGTTCAGCCCCATTCATCTCTCTCTGTCTTCATGTGTGCTTGTCATGTGATCCCTTCTGCCATGGGATGACCTTCACCAGATGCCAGTGTCATGCTCTTGGATTTCCTAGCTTCCAGAACCATGAGCCAAATAAACTTCTTTTCTTGATAAATTACCCAGTCTTTGGTATTATGTTACAGCAGCAGAAAACAGAAAAAGACACCTGCTCCCTAAATGCTAATTACCTATATGTATATGCAGAAAATGCCATAATTGCTGATTATGTCTAGCAGGTGGTTGAATGTATGCATAAAGTTACAGATATGTAACTAGGTGAATTCAATCTCTAACTGGACAGCCCACAGTCAGATCAACCTAGCTGTTTCTCACTTTTCTTTGGTAGTGTTGCAACACATTTGGCCTGGTTAAAATTTTAATGGGATTCTAACACAACATTAGTAGGCTGAAGAAAGTTGCAAGGGGAACATTAACATTTAAATAGATTTTGATTATTAGAGAGAAGTCAGAAAATCTAGCTAGTGATTTGGTTTAGCTAGGAATACCAGAGTAATTGATGGTTGTCAATATTAGAAAAGATTTTCCAGAGGTAGAAACCGTCAAGACAAAGGAGGGAGGAGAAAGATCTTCAACATCTGACATGGTTGTATGAAAGAATGCGAGCATAGGAGGGAGCCAGTCCTGCTGGACAACTTCCAGCAATAACGTGTACTCAATTCCCGTCTGGGTTACAGACCTTAACTCAACCTAACTCCAATGCTGTGAGTTAAATACTCATTTCCTTATCTTAAAATGGCAGGAGATGCTGCGTTTTCTGCACTGCTATGGGGGATCTTCATATTGTGAGGCTAAATCCTGCTTATTTCTTGCCTAAACTCATCCTCCCCATCTCCCATTCAATATTGTATAAATGAAAACTCAAGAGATTAGTACATGGACCACAAAAAATGTGTAGATTTAAGACAGTTTTGCCAACCACAGCAAGGAGGTTTTACATTTATGAAAAACAACTGTACAAATAAAATTTAGCAATATTTCCATATTATTCTCAGTGAAAACCAGGCTCCTTTAAAATAAATGAATTGTGTGTTTAAACTGAGCGCCTACCTTTAGTACTCTCCTGTGTTTTAAGCAACAAATAACTTTTATTTGTTTATATTTTTAAAACCTACAATAGTTGGGTGTGTATTGTGTACCAGGCATCATGGTTATTGCTATGATCTGAGATAAAACACAGTTCTCACTAAATAAACAGAAGTATTCCTTTGCCTCATCCTAAAGGCCATTTGGAATCTGGAGTGCCAGCAATGTTTTGTTTATTGTCCCTCAGCAAATCTTCCTCACTTTCTATCTTTGATCACGCCTTTTCAAATCTTACTCATTCTTTAAAGTCTGATTCCATTTTTGTGTCTTCCTTGAAGTTCCCTTGATCTCTTCAAAACAGAATGTCTTCCTCCTTTGAGCAGGAAGCGCTTGTTGTCTGCAGTACTTGCACACTTGTCACATACTGTTGAGGGCCATCTTCAGTGGTGTTGGCATGTATTGTTATCTAGCTTTTCATGTGAGCACATCCTGCTCCCCAAATAGCTTTCATGTTCTTTTTGTAGAACAAGTACTATATAAATTCATGTTATGTAACCCATAGTGGAAGTTCATCTAAACTTCTGGCTGTTCTCCTGCATCTAAAAAGTGGAGATTGCGGCTGGGCGCGGTGGCTCATGCCTGTAATCTTGGCACTTTGGGAGGCCAAGGTGGGCAGATCACGAGGTCAGGAGTTTGAGACCAGCCTGACCAACATGGTGAAACCCTGTCTCTACTAAATATGCAAAAATTAGCCAGGTGTGGTGGCATGCACCTGTAATTCCAGCTATTTGGGAGGCTGAGGCAGGAGAAGCACTTGAACCGGGGAGGTGGAGGTTGCAGTGAGCCAAGATCGCACCACTGCACTCCAGCCTGGGCGACAGAGCCAGACTGTGTCTCAAAACAAAACAAAACAAAACAAGTGGAAATTGCTTACAATGTGAACTCAAATTAAGACCTGGGTATGGACCTGAGAATGAGAGAGAAAGCTCAGCCTTGTTGATATTTTCCAGTTGCTTGGAAATCAGGGTGTATTCTCAGTTGATGTTTTCTATTCAGAAAACAAAGCATGCTTTCCTAATATGCATTGTAACTGTGTCACTTCCCCTGAACACATTTTTTTCTCCCCTTTCCTCTTGCCTTGTCCCTTCTATTTACCAACCAGCTACTTACTTTCTCACTGGGCTACATATTAGTCTGATGCATAAATTGTATTTTGGTTTCCTGGGGCAACAATTAGAAGTCTTTCTTGTATATTTACAACGTAGCTTTCTTGGGAGGTATGCTGTGCTATCCCCCTCCTGTGACTAACTTCCCTAAGGCCTCAGCTGGGCTCAGGATAGTGTTAAAGACGTGTACTCTCGCTGTGCACACTGGTATGCACCTGTGGTCAAGCTGTTTGGGAAGGAGGCTGAGGCAGGAGGACTGCCTGAGCCCAGGAGGACTGCCTGAGCCCAGGAGTTCTGGGCTACAGTGCACTATGCCAAACGGGTGTCTGCACTAAGTTCAGAATCAATATGGTGACCTCCCAGGAGCAGGGGATTACCAGGTTGCCTAAGGAGGGGTGAACTGGCCCAGACTGGAAACTGATCAGGTCAAAACTCCCATGCTGATCAGTAGTGGGACTGCACTCCAGCCTGGGCAACACAGTGAGACCCCATCATTTAAAAAAAAAAAAAAAAGACATGTGCTCTTAATGTCTTGGATAGTGGGTCTTTTGCGAATTGAAATAGCAGCAACTCAACCCAAAAGTGGAATTATCGAGATATGAGGCTGTTTCACAGAACTTAAGGATGAGAAGACAGTTGGCCCCTAGGTATTAAATGGAACCTGGAGCTCCAATGCCAACAGGACTCCCTGTGTGTCTCTTACCTTTAACTCTACAGGTCTTAACTCTACAGGTCTGCTTTATTTTTTTCTCTTGTTATAGACTAGCTTCTGCTTTTTCTAGCTGTGTAATGAAGCAAGGGGGCCAAGAGCTTCTGAGTTTGAATCCTTGAATCTAAGCGTCCAGAGAAAGACTGTCTTGACCCGACTCACAACACCTGAAAAAGGACTTTTATTGCCATGTTGGGCCAACTGTCCATCCCTGGACCAATAAAATATGATCATATTTGGAATGATATTTTACTCTATTATGTTTCTGGGTTAACCATTTAGATGCAGAGTGGTAGGAAGGAGCCATTGGCTGGAGGAGTTCTACTAGACAGATAAGGAGTAGGTGTTTGTTGAACCGTACATGGGTATAGAGAGGAATAGTTTACAAGCCCTTTCTCACATGTTATCTCATATGAGCCTAATGACAGTCAGTGACAGTCAAGACAGGTACTGTTGATGCACAAATCACACAGGAGGGTATTGACATGTTCTTAGAAACAAAGGAACTTATGGAAGATTCATAGAAAGTACTAAATCCTCTTTTTACTGTCCAACGAAACTCACCCTTCAAAATGTTCCTGAAATCCCACCACCTCCTCAGAGTTGACGAATGGGAGAGCCACATTATCTTTTCCTCTCCTATTAGTTTAGCTTCTAAGTTTCAGGGAAGTGTAGTTTCAGGGAAGCAGGCATGAGAGAAAAGGAGAGTGAGCTGAGAAAGAGGAGACAACATATAAGGGAGTGAATAACCAAGTGGGTCACAACCTTGAAATAAAATGATGAGTTTGTATCAGGGGGTGAGTTACTGAGTGGGTCACAACCTTGCAATAAAATGACGGGGATATTTTCAGAGAGGCTGTTTGAAGCCATTGGGTGTGTCCAAGGGGTGAGGAGGAAAGGAATTAAAATGTACTCACTGTCTTCATTGCCCATGATCAAAGTCAGATCTCAGGGCATTAACTCACCAACACTATTATACATGCTTGGGGACATAGAAGGAGCTGCCGGAGAGCACATAAGCCATGGAGTAGGAGGCAAGGTACTATCAGGTCATACAGACGGGAGTGATATGAGAAACCTGGGGTAGTCACAGAGGA